TCTATTTCGACTGTGCGTACGTTATACTTTACACGACACATAAAGTACGCAAAAATACTTTATTTAAGGCCTTAAGTAAACATCGTAATTTTGTAAGCGATTATTCTAAATTCAGAGTATTTTTACATAAATAATATTGCACAGAAAAAGGGCAAGTAAAAATGAACTTTTAGTTTACTTAAATCTTTGTTTGCCATGTTTAGAGGCTATTAATGTATTTAAGAGCAACAGCAATTTGTTACTGGCTGCTAGGTGTAACAAAAATTATGTTTTCAGAAACAAAAAATAAAATACTTAATTTTTATGCTGAGTACTTTTTTTTTAACCTTTTAGTCGAGAAATACTTTATGTAAAGCCTAAAAAGGTAGCAACCCTAACTATAACGTCGAATAACTAGACTACTTTTACGTAGAATTCTCAATTCATTCAGATTTTTAAACACTAGGTCGGTTAAATTAGATTTTCTGTTCTATACATGCATAATACATATTAAAAGAAATCAGTAGAAGCAGCGTCGAGACTATAGAAAATATGTAAATGAACTACTATTACTTATACCAAATGGTTCATTTTTAATATCAAACGTGGTACCTACCCAAGATAAAAATGTTCAGTCTCTCAGAGTCACTGAAAGCGAGACTCCGTCTCTCATCGAGTCTCTCTGGTGTCGCTGAAAGAGACTGTCAAAAAAACTCATTTCGTATCCAGTCTCCGAACGAGATACTCGAATCTCTGAATTAACAATTTTATCGTTCGAGTCTCTCATATAGAGACTGTGACAGATCCATAAAACACCTAGGCAATAACTGACACACTGTGAAAGACGCTCTCAGAGACGCTCTCAGATATGCTGAAAGACTTTGAGAGACTGGAATGTGTAACTGAATGCCTAATATTAACAATTGAGATGTTGTCATCAGTTAAAGTAATAGTGGTACAACACTTTTCTTATAAGCTTGAAGTATCCAGTTTAAAATTTTAGTTTCAATTAAAATCGTTGTTAGCTAGATCTGGAAGTCCGACTTAATTTGCAGTAATTCAGTTAAGTAACCGAAATTGATTCTAATTTGAACACACCTTAATTATTCCAATGTCGTTCTCATATTCTGCGATAGAATACAGTTTGTGATTAAATATTTTAACGACTTTTCGCCGTTGTCCGTCCTCGTTCGTATTCGATACTCCAGCCTGCACCAAATAGCCTGTGACATCAGAACTGCAAAAATATGATTTTGTCTAATATGTATAAGCATTTACAGTCGCTCTACAAGGCAATTTTTAAAATTATACAAAACCATTTATAATTCTAGGATTCTTTTAAATGTTAAAATTTGCGCATTACTATTTACAATTCTTCCTCCATTTTAACTTTTCTTTAATATTAAAAAGAACAATTAAACGGTTATTTTGAAAGACCATTTTGGTTCCAATATATTAGTTCTTTGCGTATTCAGAAGAAAATAAGAAGAAAAGGAAATACGCTTTTCTTCATCATCTATACAATTAACAATACAAGTCCAATGTATTTAATTCATGCCCGTTACTAAGGATATATGATAACTGATAACTATTGAACAAAAACTTAAGCGTAGTCGTTTTATAACGCGTCAATCAAAACTTATAGCTAAATATAATAAACTTTAATTTTTTCAATTTTTATACCAAAATTATTATGTTCATTAATACAGCTCTTGGAAAGGAAAGGAAAACTTCACTACAATTTAATTTAACTTTAGATTCTAGGCGTTCCTGCCGCTATATACTATATAGCATACAAACATACTGAATGCTCATTATTTCACCTACTTTTCAAGACAATGAGCAGCAGTGAGAACAAATTTATCGGCAATAATTGATCCTCCGCACATAAAGTTTTCTATGTCATTGTTAAAAGACAGCGCCACTTGGTAAGGGTAGTCTGCAATGTTAGCTTTATCTCCATTAATTATTCTATTACTAGGTTCATCCATGTAATCACTGTCGAAATTATCACTTGGATCGTTTGGATTTATGGAATTCAAACATTCTGACTTGCTAGCAGACGGTGATACTGAAAAGTCATTTCTGCGTTTAGATCTGTGTAACTTCCCGAGATAAAAATGTTCAGTCTCTCAGAGTCTCTGAATGCAAGACTCGAGTCTCTCTGGTGTCGCTGAGAGAGACTGTCAAAAAAACTGTTTAGCGTCCCTGAACGAGAGACTCGAGTCTCTCATAGAGAGATCCTGATTTCGTATCCAGTCTCTGAACGAGAGACTCGAATGTCTGAACGAGAGACTCGAATCTCTCAATAAGTGGTGTCTCAATAGACATGGTTAAAATTTTCTAAGTTCAACATATTTCAGAGATTCCAGTCTTTCTACGAGAGACTCGAGTCCCTCAATTTTTCAGTTTTATTAATTCAATCTCTCTGTGAGAGACTCGAATCTCTGAATTAACAATTTTATCGTTCGAGTCTCTCATATAGAGACTGTGAGAGATCCATAAAAACACCTTGGCAATAACTGAGAGACTGTGAGAGACGCTCTCAGAGACGCTGAAAGACTCTGAGAGACTGTAGAGAGACTGAAAATTTTTGTCTAGGGTATTCAGATTTTGTAAAATTCAAGGGAAACCGACGTCCTGATGAGGATGGAACATTCCTTCCGATAAGTTTTGTGTCAAAATAACTTAATTTTGTAGAAATTTATCATTTAAATAATAATTATTTTCATCAGGATTAATTCACCGATATTTACCCACCCCCTTTCCTATCTGGTGTTAAATGGAACGATCTTCCTGTTCAAAGATCAAAGTTCAAGGATCATGACGAATTGGAATGTAATTTAGACTTCTACTCTCACTTTCGTACAATCCGTTTTTTAATATCAAGAAGAGAGAGAATAAAATTAGATCTTTTTTATTACCTTTAATATGAATTTCATTACGACTAGGGACGATTGCTAAAATATAACGATTAGAATGAATATTACTATTATCCTATTCTATAACTGTATGCTCATAATTATATAAGATGTTTGGTTCAACTGAGAATAATCAGACTTTTCAAATTTAATTACCAATTTCATACAATAATATTTCTTTTATGTACTAGATAACAAAAACATTGCTGTGAAAGTAATAGTTATACCTTTTTATAATTTAATTTAATTTTATTCTCTTCACTTCCAGATGTACTGTTAATAACAATCTTTGTGAATTTTTAACGTCGTATCGTTACTTACCGCTTATGGCAAAAAGGATAAAAAAAAATTGATAAAGGATCTTCATTTCCGAACAGTTCTCAACTACAAATTGCACATAAATAATAATTTTATATTGGTACACGAAAGTGATTTAGCAACAATAGCACGCAAATAAATGATTATCTATTGACTGTAATATACTCCTACTGGACATTCACTAATAATTATCATTACTTATATTCGAACAATGTCTTCATAATAATATTCAACCATTGTTTTATGCGTATAATTATTTAACACGCACAATTTACAGTGCGAATTAATTAAGGCATTTGTTCTAAATTTATTTTGTGAAGACAAACTTCATAGGATATATCGAGTTGCTTTCCATTGTTTGTCCGGTTAGTCTTGCTAAGGTACTTTTTTCGATCGTTTTCCCAAGAATGTAAAAGACTCATTACTATACTTCGTTTACTTTCTGTAGCGATGTGGCCTTCAGTTTGACTGGCGCAAAGTAGAAAAGAACAGCACTAGGCCAGAAAAGGAAGGAGACAACTCTCGGCCGAACTCTTAACCGGTGAGGAGCGTATAATCCGTACAGTACTGCACGGAAAAATTGACCATTTTATCCGCTACAATTGCATTGCTCAAATGTGCTGTTATTGGTACCATTTACTACTGAAAATATCAACGAGATGTTTATTTATATTTGAAGACATACAAAGGCTTTAACGCTTGTTTTGGACTCGCACTACTATTCATGATTGAACAAAATTTTTGGCAGGTACTGTATGAAAAAGTATGTTTAATGAACAACAATCGAGAGTTTAATGAGCTTTTTTCTCCTTACCTACGATTTTGCCAGCGCGCATCCAAGACATTGGAAGGGGCAAATCGCTACAGAAAGTAAATGAAGTATACTAAGACGTTCAGCCATTTATCTTTTTTTCACAATTCTGCTGGAAATTCTTATCACGTCTATGATGAAATTTTCTGGGTAGACTTTCATAGACTATTTACTTGCTTTCCTTATGCTGAGTGTTTTAATAGCGTTACCTTTTTCTTTATTTTCTCTTTTGATGCATGGGTAGTTTGGTTGTACGAAAATTTTTGAATGCGTCGTCTTTTCAATTTTTGCGTAATATTTTTTTGGCCTCCTTCTGTAACTTCCTTATCTGCCAGCATTTCTTTCACTTCAAGTTCCTCGCTGTCTGCAACTTGACCGTGTTTCTTTCACTAACTTGCTTTCTGGCAATCAATAAGATCTCTCTTGTGAATTTTCTTATCAGTTGATCGTAATGTTTTGGTACACACCCTTAGGGCTTGCTTTTTTCTATGTACCATGTCTACGACATGTACCTCTTGAATGGTTCTGATTCCAATTTGTAATTCTGAGCGTCATTTTTACCTCATCGACTAGATATTGTTGCAATAGAGGCAGAGATGAGGTCAGTTCAATCCATATTTACTTAATAAACACTTAAAAACTCCAAAATTTTACAAAACGTTCAGAAAAATAAAACGCGATTCGGCACCCAAGATGTCATCCTCATTAAAGACTAAATTAATCTTGAATCTAAACCTTTCTGAGAATTTTAGCCGAAACCGTTAAAAATAAGCAAAACAAAAGTTGCTAAAATGGGATCCGTTTTAAGGATGGGGTTTGTGGGAGGTCTCCTGGTGAAACTAATTGATGGTTCGGATAAGAGAAGGATGAGTAGAAAGTACCTACATATATTGTATATGCTTCGTTAAACTACCTTTAAGGTAAAATCAAAGGCCTTGGGTTAAAGGCATAAAAAACAGTAGTTAAACTTCTTGATGAGTCCGAGTTTGGGACAGGATCACTACCATGAGATTGTCTTTGTTATTAAATATTTCAATACTGTCTAAAAGAACCTACTTCATTGTGACTATGAAAAATATGGGAAACTACGCTAGATTTATCTATTCTATTAAATCTAAGATGAGCTACATGCCTATGTTTAATTACTTTTTACTGAATTACGAACTGATTGTCGCAACATCAACGTTTTTAGTTACGATTGAATGCGATCATAAGCTCATTGCCATCAAAAAGTTGTTTCATTTATAGAATTAAAAAATGATCACACACAAAAAGTTGGTTATTGAAAAGAAAAAACACCTGGGTTTGGACGGAAAGGTTCCTTTAACACGTGGATTGGAAGTAGAAAGGGTGTGGTGTTTAATTAAAAAAAAATATATTTTTTTTGTAAATTCTGTTACTTTTCCTACACTTAACATAATACAAGAAGGTTTTCATTTCATTTCAAACAAATTTTTGAAAATAAAAATAAATGGAAAACAAATAGCAATCAACCACTTACATTAATAACCAATATCGTAAATAGCGGCTAATAATAAGATAATAAGTACATGTTATTGTATATTACAGTTTAGTAGATGTAATACATAATCAAATGAACAAACCAAATAGTTTTTATTCATTCTTCGAAATAATATTGTATATCCAGTTAAGAAAATACGTTACATTTGTGAATATGACAGGATCACCATGGTCGCATACAGTTCCATGTGAAACTACCCCTATGATGTATCCATCTTTCGCGACCGGCGAACCTGAATCTCCCTAAAAATTATCATGTAACAAACGCTTAAGCTGTTGGTCAGAAAATTATCATCGAAACTACCAGGTCGCCCTAGACCTCATTAGTGTACCATAGCACCATAGGCAGTCTCGACAAATTACAGAAGAAGCAGTGTATCGCCACCTGGTGGGTTTTTGTTGCTCTTGAAGTACTTCATTTGTTTAACTGGATCGACGATTCAGTTTTCATACATGATAAGAACGATTAAGCTCAGAAATTTATCGATACTGCCAGACGCGAATTTTTCTAGATCTCATCAGCGGGCTTAAAGGCAGACACTCTCCATAAGTTTCTGACGAAGCCGAAGAAGATTCCGAAGAGCAAATTTATGTAATATTCATTAATGTCAATTATTAGTTCAGTGGCCGATATTAGGTATCTAGGAAGTCAGATTAGTCAGGACTAGGGATATAAAGCAGAGGATAGCGCAGGGTCGAGTCGCCTTCAATAAAAAGAAGTCACTTCTATGCTAGGGAACGGTCAATTTAGAAATTCGGAAATGGTTGTTAAAGGTGCATGTTTGGAGCACGGCTCTGTACGGGTGCGAAATATGGACAGTAGGCGCGACGGAAAAGAAAAGGTTAGAAGCGTTCGAAATGAGGTGTTACGGGCGAATGATGAGGATACCGTGGATAGAGAACGTTACAAATGAAGAAGTATTAGAAAGAGTAAGAGAACAGATGACTCTATGGAAGTCAATAAAAAATAGGCGAGATAGGTTGGTAGGACACCTTCTCAGACATGAAGGTCTAGTCAGAGACATATTAGAGGCAGAAACGGAAGTTAGGAGGGGTATAGGTAGACCTAAATTAGATTACTGTTCGCAAATAGTTAAGGATATGGGCTGTTATAGTTTTAGAGGAATACGAGTCTTAGCTCAGGATAGGAAAGAGTGGAGGTGCGTGTCCAACCAGTCTTAGAATTGACGACGTTATGTTGATGATTAGTTCAGTGGCAGCAAATAATTACCAGAAGGCGATACACTGCCTCTATTTGGATATTACATGCTTTTACTATCTAGAAAACGATACACTATTTAGAAGTAGGAAGCAGTTTGTATTCGGATATGTTTTAGGAAAATATGAAATTGTATATTGTCATTATCTATTCAACCATTAATTTTATTGTGAAATTTATGAAAGAATCTTAAAATGTGTATTCACTTACATAACATATATCGAGACCTTTTGGTGTATCTACACAAATCATTCTGTCTGTTATTTCAATGTTTTGCGGCCCATACTTTCTTTTCATACATTTTTCCCGGGTTGTCGATGGAACTTCTAAAGCGAAAAGGTCTACATTTGGTGTACCGTACTGACCGTATCCTATTATTGTTACCATGTCGCCTTCTTTAAAACATTCACTATCAGGCAACTTTATCTTTGCTACTTTCTTATTGAATTCGAATGGTTCATCAACCTGCAAAAGAGCCGTTTTAATCTCTTGTTAAACGGCTGTTTGAAAAGCGGGAGTCTAGTAATTAATTAATTTAAAATTATTTTCATATCTTCATTAATGCAAACGATTTTTTCAATTAAATAACTACTTCTTATTTTAAGCAAATTAATTAGAAAATGCTTCTATATTCGGTTTTTATAGAGGTAAATATCTCAACCAAATCGAGCAAATCCCTACTTTAAATATCGCTCACAGGGGTTTCAAAGAGGAGTACTTGTCTAAAAAACGACTAGCTAACATACTAAAAATGAACAGAAAACAATTCGTGCAGTGGTACCTCGAGATACGAGTGCCCTAACATACGAGTTATTTGAGATACGAGCTGTCGAGCGAGCGAAGTTTTGTTTTGAAATACTAGCGACATTTGAGATACGAGGTTTTTGGCCCTTCTCTTAAGAAACATCTACAGGAAAACAACCTACCCACGCAAGCCCTTCTCGTCCTCGACAATGCTCCTGCTTACCCACCGATCCTCGAAGATGACATCCTCGAAGAGTTCAAGTTTATAAAGGTTCTCTGTCTACCACCTAACACAACTCCTATCCTACAGACCATGGAGCAGCAAGCGATTTCTAATTTTAAAAAGCTGTACACTAAGCACCTGTTCCGGCGCTGCTTTGAGGTGACAGAGAACACAAACCTCACCCTTCGACAGTACTGGAAGGATCACTTTAACATCGTGATATGCCTCAGAATTAGTGATCATGCCTGGCTGAGTGTTACAACGAGGGCCTTGACCTCTACATGGAAGAAGCTGTGGTCTGAGTCTGTAGCCGACAGGATTCGAACCCGAAGTGCCAGTGGAGTGTCTCTGGGAAAATCCATGGGCCTGGTGATGGATAAGAGAGATGTGAACAAGCTCGTCCAGGAACATTGTCAGGAACTGACGACCGAGGAATTACAAGAGCAGCAATCGGGGGTTCTGCAAGAAATTGATTTCGAGGAAGAGTCAGAGGTGGAGGAGATTATCTCTACAAATGATATAAAAGAGATCATGGGAATGTGTTTTATTCAAAAACAGTTACAGTAACATTTTTGGAGCTGGAACGGATTAATCGCATTTGAATGAATTTCAATGGGGAAAATTGGTTTGAGATACGAGCAAATTGACATACGAGCAAGGTTACGGAACGAATTAAACTCGTACCTCGAGGTACCACTGTATAGCGACTACTTCCGGAAGTATAACGGATGCGTAAATGTACTACGATTAGTCATGTTTTGACCTCACGCAGGTACTTTAACATAACAATGTGGTAGGTACCTAGTACACAATTTTTCTCCTATTCCCTTCTTTTACTATTAAAACTATTAATTAGTACTCATGTATTATTCTTTTACGCTAGCAAAAATATATTGAAACAATATAAATGAAAACAATTACTTATGGTTAAATGTTCTTAATCGCTGCTAAGATTGAAATGTGAGTTTTGCGGATTACACATATAGAATTATGTATCGATGCCCTAGACTTAATTAAATATTTATAAACATTGAGTTCGGTAATTGAAATAGATTTCACATTGAACATACCATAAGAATTCCAATGTCGTAATCAAACAACTTTGAATACTTTTCATGTTTAAATACTTTAACGCCCTGTCGTTGTTGTCCCTCTTCGTCCAAATTCGATATTCCAGCTTTCACACGATAGTCTTTACTTTCAAGACTGCAAAAATACGATTTTACCTAATATATCGCTTATTAGATTATTTTATAAAATAAGCTTTCTTGTTTTGAATCATATTGAGATACAGTTTGTACAGTTTAAGTAAAAGTTTTAATAGAAAATATAAACATTGTAAAAAAAATGTAATCCTAGTAACAAATTAAAACTAGTATTATTTACAATCTTTTCAATTCGATGATGTTGCCTACATAGAAAGGAAAAGGGAAACTTTCATTGTATGCTCTAGATATCAGTTTCTTCATAATTTTGGAAGCTTTAGTAGAATATCGAAATAGGCTTAATCAATGACTTCAGGTAGATAAAAATTTTAGTAAAATTCGTACAATTTTAATATACGCGGATGTTTCATTAATGAAAATGAAAAAAAACAACAATTGAGATACATAAATGCTAACTATAACTTGTTACGTTTTTATACTCAAACTTTAATTAATGATTTTTACTTACTACTACTTTATTGATTCATTCATCACAGCAATTAATTAGTATTACGTACTCAACACTGTAGGCCGACAGATCCTCTATTAAAGCTATTGTTAAATACCATTAAGAAGCAATATTACGGAATTTTTATGGTCAATCTATATTTTATTTTTACAATCTATACCGGAAGAAGCAAACCAACAAATAATAATATTATTAACTCGCTACCGTAATGGACTACTCCATACGACCCCTTTGAAGTTGGCATAGCAAAATTAGCAGATAAAAATGTAATCCACCAGATAAAGAACTGCAAATTAGCCTCAAATTAGCTGTGAAGACGTGGGAAACCCAACAACAAAAGAAATTGTAATATCGGTTGGAAAAATCGTAGACAGCTAGAGCCAGTCTCATAGTAAGTCACTAATTAACTGCTGGCCATGTAGAATGTAAACTTTCGACCAGGGGGTTCGAAGTTTTTTCAAAATCGAGCCTTTTTCCATCTTGGCGGCACGACAATTGCCACATCGAGTAACGTTACAATAGCTCACCTTCAACTTCGCCTAAAACTTGCTGTGAATATTTCGAAGATTAGCCCTGAAAACCAAAAACATGCCACGATTCGGGAAACCCGAAAACAATATTTAGAATGAATACTTATTATCATCTCATAGAAGTTACAGAAATTATGAAAAAAAAAGTTATAACTCCCTGGTTAGTTAGTATACAGTAGCGGTTAATAAACCGCTAATAATGAGCCCGGTTCTAGATATCCATGCTTTTCCTAATCGATTTAACAAATCTTTTGCTTACCTCATTCGAAGTTATGTAAAACTGGTTTTTCAGGATTCGGTAATTCTTATTTTTTGCGGCTAATTTGTGAAATATTCACAGCAGTATTAAAGTTCGAGTGCCTACTATAATTTCAGTCGATATTAAAGCGGTTGGTGGACGCTATTTTGAAAAACAAATTCGAACCCCCTGATTACTAACTTACATCGTCAGTAGTTAATTAATTATCACAATGGTTCTAGATGTGTTGAATTTTCCTAACCGGGATTTTCGGGTTCTTCAGGTCGCGGCTAATTTTTGCTTTTACTGCTAATTTGCATTAATTATCGGATACTTTATAAGAAGTAGGTAATGCCCATGTATCAAGTAGGCGAAACACGTGTCTGCTCGAAAAGTTTTTGTGGTAATTAGGGATGAGTCTTCTTTTTAATTTTTTTAAAATAAGGATGCTTTATACTTTTGCCTGCTAATTTCGAAGGGCTTATATATTATGGATAAATATATTTAAAAGTTCTGTATTTCACCAACCTTACAAAACAATGAGCGGCAGTGAGAACGAATTTGTCTGCAATTATTGCTCCTCCGCACATTGCTCTGCCACTTTTAAAAACCACCACAACTTGATAAGGATATCCTTCGATGTCAGTATCATTTTCCTCACTAAAGATTCTATTAACAGGTTCGTCCATAGAATTACTGAAGAAATCACCATTTGGCGGTAGATCTTCCGGATCTATGGTATTCAAACATTCCATCATCCTAGCAGATGGTGGTATGTCTTCACCACTATAATCTTTATCTTTTCGATACCGATAACGCAAGCGTGGTTTAGATTTATATAAGTGGGAATTTTTTATAAAAAAAGGGGCCGGATAATGACGTCGTGGTGAAGATCGAACATTCCTTTCGAAAAGCCCTGTGTCGGAATAACTCAATTTGTATTTGAATAATTACTTTCATAAAGATTAATTAATCGATATATACCCATTTTGTTTCTATTTTGTGGTAAATAAATAGATTCTCTGGTTGGACTGTAATATAGACTTGTACTCCCATCATTATGGAATCCGTCTTTGGATGAGAAGAGAAGATAAAATTAGATTTAAATTTTACTAGTTTGCTTTGTTAAGACTATTATTTGCTAAAATATAACGACTGAGGTGCTGTCCATTAGAACGAATATGACTATTACATTTTTTTGCGACCGTATGCATTTCATTATTTCCGATGGTTTGTGCAAATGAGAAATAATCAAATTCATAAACTCCATATAATAACACACATTTTAATTAAAATCTTGGCGTTTGTTTATTCAATTTTGTTCTATTCAGTTCGAGATGTTGACGAAAGCAATAGTCTTTCATTTATTAAATGAGAGGAAGGGAACATTAATTAATTAATTGATTAATTTTCAATTTGTCTATGTATATACGCAACGATTTCACATATCACATTTATATAAGATACTATATTTATATTATCGGTGCTATTTACTATCAAAGCTAAATTTATAGTATTAGCAGTAAGGGGCATAATAAATATATGCCATCGTAGATACTTTATTTGAGTACACTACAGTGAAAGCTCTTTATTCGCGGGGTATACGTTCCATAAATATGCTGCGAATACAGAAACCGTGGATATGGAATGGTAATTAGTATGGAATCATAAGAGATACATTCTAAGGTTCCAAAATAAAATCAATTTATTGATAAATTCGCAATTAAAATTAATAGTACAGTACATACACAAAAGACGCCGATACATTAAGGGGATTCAGTAGTACACGCGCCGTAGAGTAAAACCATGCTTATCGGTTCTAGATACCATGAGTTCAATATTTGGAACAGAGGTTTGAAATTTTGTACCGAGATATATAAAGCTTTGATCTAAAGCTTGTCGAAGAGCATTTTTTAATATCTATTGAAAGTACGTGCCCTACAAGAAGCATCAACTTTAAGCACTTGGAAAAGCTTTTAATGACCATATTATTGAAAACCAAAAGCGTACCGAGTTAGTGTGAACCTTTGTCTGTTACCATACAAAAAATTAAATATTTATTTCACAACGTTAAATCACAATGTTTAGAACAGAGACCCATGTTTTCGAAAAAATTTACACTAAGCACGAGCGGTCTATTGCGGTCAATCTCCTTAATAAATGACACCGAATCCTTTCCTGTTACCGATTGCGACCGCAAGTAATAGAATTTGTAACCACGAATGCAGAAACTGGGTTGCAATTTTTTCACCCGCGTGATAATGAAAACGCGAATAAGGAAACCGTGAATAAGGAACTTTTACTGTATAACATTTCACTGAAAATATTGACACGGTCAGCTTATTTGTGCAACTGATCTAATTAAATCTAAGTAAAGCAATCATTGTGATCCATATGGTTAATGCATATCTACACGCTATTTTTTACATTAAAATAGTTAATCGTGAAACGGTTTTATGTTGACTTAGTATAATGCCATAAATATTATAATGCAGACAAAGATGAGCCGTTTCTTTTGTAATCTGAATGCTGGAGATATCTTTTGTCTTTCTCTTATTTATTTGTTTTTAACGTCATATCGCAACTTACCGCTTACGGCGAAAAGGGGCAATAGAACATGATACAACGTTTTCATTACCGTACAGTTTACAGCTACGAATAGCACATAAATATCAAAATTATTTTATATACAGGAATGAATTTTAACTTAACTAACACACCAGAAAATGACTAAGTATTGACTGTAACAGTATATATGATAATTCACCTCCTACTGAACATTTACAAATAATTATCATTACTTATATTTGAACAATGTGTTAGTAAAATCTAATCAAAATTGCAACCACTGTTTTATCCGTAGAGTAGTTATTGATCACGCACAATTTACAATACGAATTGACTTTCGGTAAATTAATTAACTTTGAAGAGTTTTCATAATGATATTTATTTAACGGGTAGGGATTTACAATGATGAACTACTCCTACATTCTTTGGGAGTCCAAGCTTCGTAGGATTTATTGCGTTACTGTCTGCTATTTGTTCGGTTAGTCTTTCTAAAGACACGTCTTTCTTTCTTTTGACCGTTTTCACAAAAGTCCACATTTTCAGTTACCATAATATTGAAATGGATCATACGTTCTTTACCACAAGCATCATTTATTTCATTTATGGAATTAAAGATGGTCACACATACTACGCCAATTAATTATTATTATAAAGGGTTAGCAAATCTAATACTGTTTGAAAAGCAATAATGAAATTATCTTTTTATTTTTAGATTTGTTTTTTTAACGACATTTTTGGAAAATTATAACTTGTGTATTACCAATAATTTCTTATCTCGTGTTAACATAGGCGCTATCCCCAAGTACCTAATACTTAATGTGAATTTTCTGAGAGAAGCATGAGACGTGTATTCGCTTACGAAACAAATACCAGACTCCTTAGGCGGCGCTGTACAAATCAGTTTTTCTGGAATGTGACTTTTTGTTCCAGAACAGTCTTCTCGGGATGTCAATGGTATTTTTAAGACGTAAAGTTGCTTATTTTTTTCAGCGTTTACACTGGGATTGCTCCGATCGAATCCTGTTACTGTCACAATGTCACCCACATTAACACATACATCTTAAGGCAAATTTAGCTTCGCTATTTAAGTTAAATCGTTGCTGGATAAACGAAGACTTAAAAACTTAATAACAGTATCTAATTTAAAATCTTATTTACATTATTTTTGATTGTTGCTTAATGTAAAATAAACGAAAATATAATTTTTTCAAGCTATACCTTTAGAATTGCAATTTCATAATCATAGGGATTATCAGAATACTTTTTGTTTTTAAATAGTTCATCGACACCTCGCAGTTGTTCATCTTCGTCTAAACAGGATCTTCCACCTACCACCCCATAGTCTTTGACATGGCTACTGCAAGAACATGATTCCCCCTATTACGCAAACGGTTGTGACAGTTGTTTTACAAATTAATTTAATATAACAATCTATGGGGTGGGTCTGGACTCTGTGTGTCGCATCACTGGTGCGACCCTTAAGGTCCATACGAATAACTTCTCAGTACGGGAGGCACCTGATTCAAATCAACAAAGCAACTGTTAGCACTAATTTACAGTATCTAGTACTGGATAAAAATATCTGATTTATTTCAAAGTATCGAGGTATACTTCATTTACTTTCTCTAGCGATAGCCCCTTCCAATGTATTGGATGCCCGCTGGCAAAATCGTAAGTAGGGAGAAAAAAGGTCATTGTACTCTCGGCTCTTGTTCATTAAACATACTTTTTCATACAGTACCTGCCTAAAGTTTTGTTCAATCATGAATAGTAGTGCGAGTCGAAAACAAGCGTTAAAGCCTTTAACATGTCTTCAACTATAAATAAAACATCTCGTTGATATTTTCAGTAGTAATTGGTACCACACATTTGAGCAATACAATTTTAGTGGATAAAATAGTCAATTTTTCCGTGCAGTACTGTACGGATTATACGCTCCTCACCGGTTAAGTTTTTGGTCGAGAGTTGTCTCCTTTCTTTTCTGGCCTAGTGCTGTTCTTTTCTACTTTGCGCCGGTCAAACTAAAGGTCACATCGCTAGAGAAACTAAACGAAGTATATATAGGAATCAATTAATCAGATAAATATTTTTCAGTGATTTTTAGAATTTATTAATCAATTAATTGTTTAAATAAGAAAACGACTCGGCCGAATGTTATGTAATTCTTTTAGGATCATACCTACTGCCGTGAATACGCTTCGATCGCTATCTTAACGAAGTCGATATCTTTTGGTTGCGTTTTAATTTTGAAAATTTTACACAAAACTATTTATAATTTCAGGATTCATTTAAAATGATATTGAAATTTGCACAAGTAATTTATAATTTTTTCTCCACTGTTTACCAAAATTTCCCTTCTTTTATTATTATTAAAGCTATCAATTAGTATTCATGTATTATTCTTTTACGCTAGCAAGAACATATGCTTAAAGTTCTCAATCGCTGTTAAAGTTGAAATGTCAATTTTGCGGATTACACATATAGAATTATGTATCTATGCCCAAAACTTAATTAAACATTTATAATAATTGAGTTCGGCAATTGAAATAGATTCTACATTGAACATACCATAAGAATTCTAAGGTGGTAATCACTTTTCATGTTTAAATACTTTAACGCCTTTTCGTTGTTGCCCCCTTTGTCCAAATTCAATATTGCAGCTTTCACAGAATAGTTTTAAGTATGATTTTGAACAAAATGTGTGAACTGCTGAAATGTAAACGATTCTCATACCCTTCAAATGTATTTTAATTTGCTGTTTGATTTTTTCACACACAAATTTAGTATTTGACCGTAATAGAATACATTAAAAGTGTGAAATTCATACATATCAAAACTTATGTATGTATTTTTCAAGCAGACAAATTTTAGTCACACCAAACATCTGTGTGACGTATGAAATTCATACACCTAAATCACACACTTTAGTTTGCCGTGTATCTGCCTTTACACGGACACGTCATTATTTAAAAATTTATGAAATTGAAAGAAGGCAATTTCTTAAACTAAGGGTTCGATAAAATTCAGGATGGATTTATTCACTGAAGTGAACTCTTGATTTCATTCTGCTACAGTTTGAAATTACCTACAAATATAAGCACATATAATAATTTAGAGGGTGGTCATTTTTGTGATTTTTCTTGTCACGAAAAGGGTAACCTACGTCACCACACATCTATTTCCCCGGAATCACGGAATTGGTAGGCGGACCTTGCGCCACGGAAATTAATTGCTTATGGATTGCGGAAAATTTTCATAATAATAAAAGATAATTAAGTGGTCGTTTATTAATTCATGTATATTTAAACTTGTTATCCAATAGGAAGAAAATTAGGAGAAATACTTATGCATTTAAAATACCTTAAAACTGTATCCTCTTTGCCCGCCTACAGCTTTCAAATAATTGTCTTTACCATGATCAAGACGTCAAAAATATCATTTTTGACATGACATACGCTTTGCCTTTTTACAAAAACAAATTTTTGATTTTCAAGTAATAAAAAGATACTTACATTGTAAATAATAGTTTTAACTCATAGTAACATGACTTACACTCAAAGAAAAAGGTTACTTAAAATAAAAAATAAAAATAAAAGTTTAATAATTTTAGTCCAATGTACTCTAATCAATGTTAACATTAATGCTTATTACATTACATTTGCCGCACTTACAGCTGCTATCCTTGGAATCACCATTTGGATTTGGCGCTGGATAGTTTGGATCCTCGACATTCAAACATTTTGATTGGTTAGCAGCTGGTTGTGGGTGATTACTACCATTACTGGGGGGATAAACTTCACTCCGATAATGCGAGCCTGACTCAGGTTTGAAAAAGGGTGATTCTTTTGTAAATGGGGGGAACGGAGGCCGATGTCTTGATGAAGATGGAACACCCCTTTCGAAAGGCTCTGTATCAAAACAACTCAGTTTTGGAAAAAATGCATCATTTGGATAATAATTACTTTCATGAAGAGTAATTAATCGATATTTACCCATTATGTGGCTGTGTCGTGGTTGAAAGAGACGAGCTGCAACGTTATCTATATCTCTCCTTTTATCATCGTAGAATCCGTCTTTTGATAGAAAGAGACGATAAAATTAGAACTAGATTTTACTAGTTTGCTCTGTAAAGATTTTTATTACCTTTACTATCAGGCTCTTGTTGATCAGCCATTTTACTATCACCAGAGCAACCATGTCCATTACAATGACTATCACTATTACATTTTTCTGTAACCATATTTTCATTTCATTATTTCCGATGGTTTATGTAAATGAGAAATAATAAAATTCATCAATTATAATTATGAGTTCTATACAATAATATACACGTTCTGACGTTTATTTGTTCAATTTCCTTTTATTCAGTTTAAGATGTAATATCTATTCAGAAAAGCGAAATCCTTTCATTTATTAAATAAAAAAGAAAGAAACAATGGTTGATTAAACGGCAGCCGATTAATTTACAATTCGATTATCTGTATATGCAAGAATTTCTCACGCCATAATGAAATAAGACACTTTATTTATATTTTCGATGCTATTCCTAGTTTCAATCAAACATGAATTTAAGACGTGAGTAGTATGTGACATAATAAATATGTTATCGTATTTAATTCGAATACACTATAATATTTGATTAGTTATATGGGTGATCTAATTAAAAAAAAAAATACAACGTGTAATTATACACCACGCTACTGAAGTGAAACTTCTTCAAATACACAAACATATCGGGATGGGGGTTAAGGAATTGATTTAATGGTATTATTTGTACACTATGAATTTAAATTTTACACTATACATGCCGGAGTTGCCTGTAACGAACGTTGCATTGAAGCGCACTCACGGCTCAAGCGATCCCCACTACGAACTCCGTTGCATGATTTCGTTACACAGCAACTCGCATGAAACGAACTTACCCTACCGTGCGTAAAGAAGATTCATTCAAAAAGTTAGCTGTAATTCCTCAGAATGCGTATAGAATAAGTTAGATACATGAAAATGTATTCCGTGACTTTAGTTTAAAGTAAATAGCAAACAACAGAATTTTCTTGTTTTATACCTACTATTGTCACCTAACAATTACCTAGAATCCTTTGATCCTCAAACACAGCGGTCCAAAAAAATTGACCGTCGAATGAGTTTACATGTTTTGGTTAGATATCGGGTGAATTTACATACGCCTGTCATAACGTGTAACTTACCGCTTGTAGCTAAAATGGTCAAAAGAATATAACAGAAGATCTTCATTACCGTACAGTTTACGGCTACGAATTGCACAAATATCAAATTAATATTTTGTACGGGTAAGTGTTTTAACAACACTGACACACAAGTGAATGATGAAGAATTGGCTGTAACGGTATATATAATAATACAACTCCTACTAGACATTTACCAAATAATTATCATTACATATATTTGAACAATGTCCTAGTTAAATTCAATCAAAATTACAACCAATAATAATTACTGTTTTATGCGTAAAGTTGTTATTGATCACGCACAATTTGAAAGACGAATTAACTTTATGCGAATTAATTAACTTGGAAGCGTTTGCATTAAGATATGTATTGAGTTGCTCCTACTTCTTTTAAGAGTCCGAATTATGTAGCATTAGTTAGTAGCTGGTGGGAATTAAATGTACAAACGAAAATTTTTCTGCTACTTCTTCTTTTCCATTATGACTAAATAACCATGTATGTCCGAGATAAAAATGTTCAGTCTCTCAGAGTCTCTGAAAGCGAGACTCGAGTCTCCGTGTCACATCGAGTCTCTCTGGTGTCGCTGAGAGAGACTAAAAAAACTGTTTAGCGTCTCTGAACGAGAGACTCGAGTCGCTCATAGAGAGATCCTCATTTCGTATCCAGTCTCTGAACGAGAGACTCGAGTCGCTCATAGAGAGATCCTCATTTCGTATCCAGTCTCTAAACGAAATCTCTGAACGAGAGACTCGAATCTCTCAATAAGTAATGTCTTGATAGATATTGTTAAAATTTTCTAAGTTCAACATATTTCAGAGATCCCAGTTTTTCTACGAGAGATTCGAGTCTCTCAATTTTTCAGTTTTATTCATTCGGTTTCTCTGTGAGAGACTCGAATCTCTGAATTAACAATTTTATCGTTCGAGTCTCTTACACAGAGACTGTGAGAGATCCATAAAAACACCTAGGCAATCACTGAGAGACTGTGAAAGACTGTGATAGACGCTCTCAGAGATGCTGAAAGACTCTGAGAAACTGGAGAGAGACTGAATATTTTTTTAAATAATTGCTTCAACGATTGAATTTTTTAAAATGCTGAAATAAATGCCTAGGCCTAAAGGCATTCCCAGAAGAAACCTAACCCAAATGAGAATGCATGGTAACTGAGAACGAAATGTTAATTTGTGGTTTCACATTAATAAAATAAATGTAATTTATATTAAAGAGCATTAAGACCAAGTTTCATACAAACTTTGCCACCTCTTTTCAGGGGTTGAATTTCATTGTAGGTTTCTTATTCCTTATACACAAAAAATATGCTCTTTATATTATTTTAATATTTAATATCCAGGCAGTAACCGCTTACCTTCCCTATATTCAATTTCATTTTGATTAAAAGAAAATAAGTAGTGAACTATTGATTTCTTCAATTTTCAATTACTAGTAAGTTCGTTATCCGTTAATTAATGTAATTAATCTCTATTGATTTTTGAAATGAGGCGTTAGTCTTTATATGTGATATTTGTAAAACTACCTACTAACGAATGAGTAATTTCACATTTCATAAATTGATTATTAGTTTTATTAATAGTCCATGTTTTCCACTAGGCGTAATTCGCAATTGTTTTAAGAGATCGCGCATGTAATTAAAGCGAACGTGGAACATTTGTTTTAATCTAATTAAAAACTAGAGGTTCCCGATGAATAGCTACGCCATCTTAGTCAATGTTTTACTCAAAACAACTCTTGAGAGTGGAGAGTACTTTTGAGTTTTCTGCCACTTCGCATAGATTCATCTCATATACGTGAGCCGTATGATCAGTCGTTCCGCACTCTTTTTTAATCAGTGAGGGTTGCTGAGACTTTTAGTTAGATGTACGGTACTTACACATACGTCACATGAATTACTATCAAATGCAGGTATGTGTCATAACAACTTAAGTAATAATTGTGGCATGCCTCCAGTATAAAATTAAAATGAACTCATACTCAACTTTTATCTGCTATAAGTTATCTCAAATTAATGAGGAAAATTTTGTTACCGGAAGTCGAACCCGGCACAAAGCAATTTAAGCTAATAAAACCAATCCGCTGTCTAATAGGCAACAAAGCTAAAAATATAATTTGAAATTTGATTTTCAACAAATCTACATATAATTTTCTTAAATTCACTAAATTTATGTTTTTGTTGGGCTTCAGATATTTAAAATTCTACAAAATCATTAATAACGTTTCAGGATTTTTTAAATCAATATTGGAATAAACACCTACGGTTTCATCTTCAGTTTCCAACATTCATTAAGTTTCATATAACTCCATCTCATTTTGATAAACACAATTAGTTCTAAATTCCTTGACTAAAAAGTATAAACCCAATACGAAATTGTTAACAAGAAAACCCTACGTATGGATTCTTCAGTACAATGGTTATTTTGGAAATTTTCACTCACTAAATATTATTATCCTGTCTGTCTAGTTTGTATTGTATCCCATTAGTTTGTCTACTTTTATTATTTTGATGTTGTGTGCCAATTAAAATTATAACTTCTGATAAATTTTATTATTATTATTATTTTTATTAGAGATTAGGTACCTACTAGATAAGATGAAAACTAAGCGAAACAAATGCGTTCAACAATTTTATTTCCATAAGACCATTGACTTCTTTAGACGCCTTTCAATCCGGTTGGGCGAAGTTAAAAGGGTCCGAAATCGATAAACGCCATTTCATCTTTCACAGGACACTTTTTATAACCCTGTTATGCCTTGCTACAATGTGAGAACTGGGATATCCGTTCTGCCTGTTTACACATTCGCTCATTCCTTTCGAAAATAAAATCGCTCAAGTAGTTAAAAGAATATATACGCATTCAGCAATAATCATTAATCCTTTCGAGTAGAAATTAGTCATTATCGATATCGAACATGTCACAAAGAAAGCGAACATGCTGATTTATTTCTTATGATTATTAACGTATGGGTAGGTAAATGCTAATTCATTTACTAAAGTTTATCGATTGCATGCCGTAGGTAAAGATTAAATAAAAACTCAATTGACGCAAATGTTTGAAGTGAATTTTGTTATTGTTGTTAAACAAAATATGAGGAATAATACGGTAGATAGATTCGTATATGATCTTATAAATGCTTCACTTTTCTCAAAACTTATATCTTTCATTGTTTTCTAAATTAATGCAATTAACAGTAATAATAAATGTAGTAATTAAGTAACTAAAGCGGACTCATGACTCGCCCCTATAGTTATCACAAACACTATTTTGATTAAGGCACACGTTTAGTCTAGTTTGAGGCATTATAAATGTAAGACTACTATTCTGAGCGAAACACGTGTCCGTTCTACACAATTTAGGGTGCCTTTTTTAGTGATGTATGTACTTAAGCTCGTAGTTCTATATAGAATTTTTATGAAAGTTTAACGATAACTACTTGTAATCTACATCGCTTACTGAATAGAGAGTATTTATATTATACTAGTGACCCGCTCCAGCTGATACTAAATATATTTTTGTTTTGTTTAGATTATTATCGAAAAGGGGAAATCTTCAAAAGATACCCCCTGAACATACTAAATATACTACAGAATGTCATTAAATACAACATTCACAGTTTTTTCGTCATTAGACAATACAAACCGGCCTCCCGGCAGGTACCACCGCAACCGCTATGTCCCTGCATTTTAAATCTGTAATATCTTCGAAAATATTCATTTAAATTACATGCTGTAAAGGGCCATATTGATCTATATTAAATGCACAATGTATTTAAGGTACTTAATTGGATAAGAATTAATGCTGCATTGCCTACAATCCCTTCGTAAATAAGTCATTATTTCTTATAAAAACTAAACGATAAAAATGGTTTTTGTGAGAGATAGACATATACCATCACGTACTTTTTTGTACACCCTTTTTAGATGTACAATATTGTAGTACATTATTTTTATCTATCTCGTAGGGTTCGGCCAGCGTTTGCAATGTAAGCGCAAAAAACTGAATTTATTTATGACTTCACATTAGAAACCTCTAAAATTATCAGTGTTTCCCTACTATATTATGCATGTATTATACATATAAACCTTCCTCTTGAATCACTCTATCTTTAAAAAAAAACCGCATCAAAATCCGTTGCGTAGTTTTAAAGATTTAAGCATACATAGGGACAGACAGTGAGAAAGCGACTTTGTTTTATACTATGTAGTGATAATGATTTGATTACTAGATGCAGCTTGAAAATAGTAAAAAATACACATCATCATTTTCATTATGTCGTCAGTCCTAAGACTGATTAGACACGCACCTCCACTCCTTCTTATACTGAGCTTTTTTTCTCATTTCCCAGAAACTAGAACATCTTACATCCTTAACTATTTGCGAACAGTAATATAATCTAGGTCTACCTCTACCCCTCCTAACTCCCGTTTCTGTCTCTAATATGTCTTTGACTTGCCCTTCATGCCTGAGAAGGTGTCCTACCAACCTATCTCACCTATTTCTTATTGATTTCCATTTTATCTGTTCAATTATTATTTCTAACACCTCTTCATTTCTAACCTTCTCTATCCGTGGTATCCACATCAATCGAGCGCCGCCCTCCAAACTTACACCTTTAACAACGTTAAAAAATACATATGCTAAACTATTTCCAAATTTAAAATAATTGTCAACGTAATATGTTTGTTCCCCTGATTCACCTCATTTTGACTGTGATGTTACATTGACCTCGTAATAGTAGTTATTTTAGAAAATGAAAATTAAGATTCATTAAAATGAAGTACCTACCTAATACTAATACAAGCATTTTCTGCATCGAACTTCGCTCTTAAGCATGCACGTTGTATCGTAATTTAGCGAATACAACTTAACGACATCGCCTTTATATACCTTCAGGTACTAGGCTAGTGACTAATTAAGACTTATGGACGCGAACGAGCTAGGCTTCATTTTAGTACATTGAGTTGACAAAGTTTGCAATGGTTCGGTAATGAAGTTGGAAGCCGATTTTAAGGATGGAATGGTGAAACTAAAACTTTAAGGAGTACCTGCAATGCAATTGACTACAATTGAGCGAATACGAACAGTTTTGGAAATTAATTT